TTTACACATCATGAGGCCAACATCCAGGTGTGCCTCTAATTTGTAGGAAGAACTAAGATTCTTCACCTGTGAAAGGCTGGATTGCCTTTTGCTTTGGCTTTCACACAAGATTAGACTGCACCTGGATTTTCAACCCCAGAGTCTAGTAGTGTAGTCATTAGTATAAATGAAACAGTTGTTGGTAAAGAAGAAAGATGGGGATCAAGTAACATGAATTGTATCTTAGATTCCAGCTCAGAAATGCAGAACGTTCAGTTTCCAGCCAATGACAGGCTCTCGTTGGGCTTACGTCTTGTTTCCAGCATGATGCCATATTGAGAGTCATTCATTAAGAGTTTGCATCCCCAGCTTCCCATCTCCCAACGTTTCTTCCCCACATTCCTGGCCCCAACGAGGCCAGATATGACCTACCTGGAGATTTAGTTGTCTCTTCAGTCTCAGAGGAATACACAATTTCGTTGTTGTGTTCAACTGAACATTTCACTGAATCAGAATCTCCATATTGACCAAGCTTGACAGCGTTGTACTTCCCACTGGGAGAGACGACGATAGCTGGGTCATATTCTATTATTTTCTTGGATGACTGGAGACTTATATTTATATTCTTGGGGTAGAAATCCTTCACCAGACAAGCAACATTTTTCCCATTTCTCATGACGAAAACGGATGGTTTGGTAGGAGACTGACTTTCTGCAGATATAATCAATTTATTTAATGAGATGAGTATCTACAATGTGTTAAAGTTAAACAAGAGTGTTTGCCTCAATTTCCCTGGGGCCTAGCACTGTAACCCAGACTTTCCTGCATCCTATTAGTGACCTGGGCTTGTCTGTATCTCCATGAGGATGGCAAAGGGAGCAGAAATGAAAGGCAGTCAGTTTGCTTTTGAGTTAGGAGCTGCTAAGAAATATGGCTGGGAGTAGAGAAGGAAAATAACAACTACTAAAAGGTTTCTTGATGATCTGACTTTTAATTATTTATGTTTTATTAATCAATCCTCTGGACAATCAAGGTCAGGATGAATGCTTGTCTGCATCGAGTGGCTTATTTTAAATGCATGGGCCTTTGGAGGGAGATCAGGGCAGGTGCTCATGCTTTGTAGTATGTCAGTTAAAGAATCAAGGGTCTGAGAAGGACTACATAACTGTTCAATCATTCTGAGGGTGGTGGTGTTGGGGTCACTTCAGGGCATCACCTCCATTTCATGGACTGGAAGGGATCTACTGAAGTTAAGTGATACATCTCTCTGTCTTTAGGTGGATACTTATTCTTTTGTTAAGAGTGTACCCTTCAGTTTCTTTTGGGTCTTTAGTCAGTGAATAACAACTACCATTCCCTGGAAGTTCTTATACACATAAAACCAGTTGAAATCCATTTTTCTTGTTTTATTCCAAGTGGAATGGTAGCAAGTTGGTTCCAATAATTGGGTCTCCTCCTGGTCTTCTCTCCTGTCAAGACTCATCTTGATTTATCATATATCTGCTACTTGGTATGTGCATTTTTTTCCACTTAAAACCAAAAGTCTTGAAGTTTTTAGGGTGATAGTAATGATTCTTTCCCCTGGTGCCTTGTTGAATTTCTGAATTGTGATATATTTTGTGTCTATGGAGACTTGAACTCTTAAACTATCTTTAAATAACTGCTAAAAAAGAGCCCTGAAAATGCCTGAAATCAGGAAAGACAATCAACCTGCCTGTGAATGGTGATCTGGACATATTTCCAATTATATGCTTAACCGCTTGTTTTCAATATTACTATCTTGTGTGAATACGGCCCTTAGTATTCAAAACTTAGCTGAGTTTGGCTTCTTGGTATCAACTTAAAAATATGTTGAATTCCAGTGTACTTTTATTTACTATGGCCTATAATCAAGACATAAGGTATTGCTAAACAAAAACTCTTGGTAATGAATGTGTATATGGAATGGTTTTTCTGGTGCTTTATTTTGAGTCTGGATTTGGGTTTCAGCTGTGAAGCTCATGGAAGCAGAGCTGTAACCAAATCAATCAGTTACGTCTGGTGGAGATGGGGTGATTGTTTGTTGGAAGTTCCTGCTGATTGCTTTGTAAATGGACCACAGCTGGTCAGGGTTTTCAGGGAGAATCAGCTATTCAGAGAAGCCCCTCCTCATTGCCATCATAATTCTCCATTTTTTTTTCTCTCCTGGGAAGCTCAGCTAAAAGACTGGATTCTATTCCAGTCATTCAGGGCAGGAAACTAGTTCCTAAGAGATGTAGTTTCTTCTGTTTTTGACTTTAGCCCTAGACAAGAGGGGGATTGGGGATTTTTCAAATGGCTCTTCTGGAACCTGCTTTCAACCTCTGTGAGAATGAGAACGAAGCCACTGATAACAGGTGCTGATAACCTTAGCAGCAACGGCTTAGAAACCACAAGTTCTACTCATTCACCTCCCTTCAGAACTGTGACATTTCTTGCTCACTATTCTGACTTTGGTTTGATATATATTTTGGTTGATTTTAAAGGGAATTATGAGTTATAGAGAAAAGAAACTTGCCCATTAGAAAACAAAAACAAACCAACTCTATCTCCTTGATTACTTAAGGGTATGACCCAATCCTAGCTGGATTTAGTTGGCTAATTAAGGCTTGCTTAGGATTTAAAAATCTATATTCAAAGGCAGTTGTCAATAATCACTTTGGACTGGAGAGACCTGGTTTGAATAATTTGAACAATGTTATATATCTGCCAACACAGATGTCTGAAGAAGTTCATCTACTTATTATATTGAGCTCCGAATCTGGTAGTTTGTATTTTAGATAGAGCACAGTGCATTGATTTGGTAAAACAGTTTTCTCTTACTCTCTTTCTCAGTGTATATATGTTCAAAACAATTGTTTGAAAAAAAGAAGTGTTTTATCCAATCCATTCTCAGATATCATGGTAACCAAAGAAAAGGCTATATGATTGAATTGAGCTTTTAAAAAAATGAAATATATTTAATAGAGTTGCCACATGTAACCTAGTCTATTTTTATACAGCACTTAAACCAAAATTTGAAATTATATAAAATTTACCCTATTGTAGTCCAAAATTTAAATGAAAGACAATTAATTATTTATCTTTTAAGAATTTCCAGTCTTTTTGGTCTACAAATATAATTAATTACATCTCAACATGTGTTGCAAAGTGTTATGTGTTTGGATAATTGTTATTTTATTTTCAGACTTTCTTTATGAATACTAATCCAATGCTAAGGTTGTGTTGCTGGTAAACAATACAAAAATAAGTGTCTATCTTTCCTGAATAGTCTTCTTGAACATGTAAACTTAGAAATCATCTAGGGTTTAGATTGGCATAGTCCTACTGGCTCCCTAAGAATGGCAACATCTATAACAAATGTCCCTGCTGATTCCAAGGCTCTCTACCAACATGGGAAGTAACTTGAACACTGAAATGTCAGTTTGCTCTACCTCCTTACTCCCACCAGGTTAAACACCTCTCTGGGACACTTTTTTTGAGGTTGTAATAAGACAGGCTCACTAGTCAGCTTACCCAAGGGATATATAAGGATAAAGCAACTTCCTGGAGAATTTGGGTGCAAGTGTATCTGCCACTGCCCCTCCTACACTCATATGCTCCAACTTATGCTCCAGACTTATTAGTATAAGTTTTTCTAGATTTCTCTTTGCTTTCTGGGATGCTCCAAAGATTTCAGAAATAAGTGGGAACTACAGTTTTAACATATGTTTTTAAAAATAAAAATAGTTACGGAGCTACTTCAGCGACTCAGCCTAATGCCTCCACTCTGGTCCACTCCACATCTCCTAGGTATAATTTCTCAAGTAATGCAAACTGGTTGTCAGCCCCACTCCTGAGACTCAATTAACCCTTAGAAATATATAGGAAAAAGTCAACTCACTGGGCTCCACGAAGAGTTTGGTGCCAGCTCCAAAAAACATCTGTCGGGTGTACCAGGAGCACATTGCAATGCTGCCTCACAGGTAGCAGCCTGGGGCTGGCCCTGGGGCCTGGGCTAGAACATCTGTGTCCTGCTTCCCCAGTCTGGATCCCAGCCAAGAGACCCCACAGCTCAGAGAACTACAAAGCTGCCCTTGATGAGCTCAGGGGGCCCAGTACACAGAGTCTCAGTTCTCTTTGAAGCTAACAATAGTTAAACTGTAAGGATGTGAGCATGAAATCCCCAACTGAGAAATACTGGGACAGGAGAGTGCTGAGACAGAGTATCATGAGAAGAGGGTGACAGGTGACTGACAGCTACCTTCAAGGTGGAAAATTTAACTCCTGGTTTATTGGGAGACCTCTCTAAAAAGAACACATAGCTTGGCAGTAGAGATGGGGCATTGAATGTTGACATTTCTTATAATGAATGTTAGGATGAGGAGGGTTTAGACACAGGTCTTGTTCACAGGTCTTGTGGCTCCCTTCTCTTGTGTCACAAATACTGCTTTTTGATTAGAAACCTAATTTCTCCCCCATCACTCAGGCTGAGTCTCACAATAATAACAAATCTGCTTTCTAATTCCCTGAGCCCAGGGAAAGGTTTTCGAAGGAACTGATGGTTGAACAAGAAATTGGCAGTTGCCAGGGGAGTCCAGTAGTGCTGCGTGTTATGAATGCAGGTCAGAGGAGCCTGTGCTTGCTTTGGATTGCTTATTTTTGTTTTATAATTTCCCTGGCTCTGGGTACAGATACAAGCTTCAGAAGGATGTAGTGATCATATGAAGACGAACTTAAAGACCCGATGGATTTCTCTGTCTCATCACCAAAAATTAAGAGTCTAGGGCTAGAGCCAAAGTGAATGACAGTTGTATAGGGCCATTATTTGCTGTCAAAGCTTTAAGAATTGGGGGCTTGATTTGCAACTCACTCCCTCTACCTGAGCTTCACACCATCATATTACACTCCATCACTGCTGGAAGGGAAAACCAGAGAACTAAATGGAGTATCATTGGAGAGCATGGCCAGTGTCCCAGCAGAGGGGCTAAACCTCAGTCTCATCTCTTTCCTTCTTCCCTAAGGCTCCCAAAGGCATGGCCTCGGAGATTTCATTCTAACACTGCAGGTAATTATGAATTTCAAGCAGAAATGATTTAAAGGGAAAATTAAACATAATACTTTTTGCTCAGATGCAATTTGTCCAACATCAATGAGGCTGCAGTCAGCTACAACATAATTCTCTTTCTGTCCTTTTCGTAGCTCTAGTTCTCTCCCCTCAAAGATAAGAAAACTCACCAAATCCCACTATTTCCCTGGAAGCAGTAGGCAATCCAGAACCCCTGTAAGTTTATATCATCCTCTGAGGGGCACAGACCCTGTTGATACTACCATTTGCTTTCAGGACTGTCAGCCTCACCACATTCTTTATTTTCTCTGAAATTAAAAAAAAATCAGAATCTAACCATGTAAGGGATTACTCATTGGACTTGGCATGCTGTGAAACTTTTGAAAGGCTGTCTTCTGGGCTGGTCCCAGTGACAGGGCTATTGGCAGCTGCCCCAACTACCTGAATACAGCCTCTGGATTTCTAAACCCTGGAACAGACTACTAGTGGGCAATGTGTCTGGGAGAACACCATTATCTCTCTGTTGTCTTGAAGTGGTGGCTGGATCTCTATACTGGGTGCAGGCTCCTGAACCCTGTGCAGAGTGCTCAGATCCAGGGCTAACAGGGGAGGTGAGCACGTAACAGCTCTCGGCAGACCCAAGCTAAGCTAGTATGGGACTTTGTAGATCATTTAGTTTGAGCCAGGCATGTTGACTTAATGAAAGTTCTCAGCACAAAGAGACAAGGGCAAGGTTGGCTTTGTCATTTGAGGGAGAGAAAATGCTCCTGATCTAACTCCTTTAACAATATGTTTCTAACTCTCCTCCTTATGCCACGACCATGACTCTTTCCTCATCAACGGTGGAGAGACTCCTCATCTACGGCCTGCCTTTTTCCTGATCCCAGTCCCTGATCAGGGGGCCAGACCAAGGGTTTTGGCTAGGTAGTTGTAGAAGGCTATGAAATAATCTGTAGAACACAGTTTCTAGCACACATAGAATATTTTCTTGAGAGAAATCTAATGAATTTGTCCTCAAACTTTACCCCAGCTCTTCACAGCAACAGCAACAAACCTCAGTAGATTTCCAATTTAGAACCTCCTGACATCCCAAGAAGCACCATTCATTCAGGAACATGCCACAACTCCAAGGATATGCAGACTGAAGTAAAATGTGTAACTTACTTGGTTCCACGATGAGTCGAGTTCCTGTTCCAAAGGTGAGTTTATCTGAAAGCACCACTTCAGGCATCATGACAAAAACCTTGCCCCCTGTCTAGTCCATCTGCTTGGAAGGAGGTGGGTGGGGCAGAACAAGTGTAGCTGGATACAGAGAACTTTGCAAGGGTTTATGAGATCTAAGCATGACATTTTGGCAGCTTGTTTGATGTGTGCTTTCTTCTGAGTGCTAATATTTAGGGAAGTCCCTAAGTTTTCTGCTGTTATCTATCTCCTTGACATGTCATCTTTCACTTTCAGGTCTTGTTTCAGGACCATATTTTCACAGGGAGAAAGGAATTATTTTGGTTTTGATGAGAATTGCCAAATGTCTATTGTCAGGTGAAACGTAACTTTATGGCTTAAATTAATCACAAAAATCTATGTCTCAGTTGGAGGTGGAAGGGCATGCTGGTTGGAGCAAAAGCCATTGATGCAAAAAACTTGGAGTCTGTCCAAAGGATCATAATAATCACAGATGACTATCATTCTGTAAGTACTTTACTACTTACAAGCAGCTTGTGTTTATACTACCTCAACAAACATTATTGTTATAAACTGCATGAGGTAATATATTAGATCCATCTTGCAGATGAAGTCACTGAAGCTAAGAATGGTTAAGATATTGAGTGGCTGAGCTGGGCCTCACTCTCAGGTCTCCAGAGTTCAGTTTCCATTCACTGAAACAGAGTCACAGATAATAGGACTGAAAGGTATCCCAGAGATCATTTGTCAAAACTCCTGTGGTCACACAAGTGCTAATGAATGGATACATAGGGAGCATTTTGACTCTTTTTCCAGTGCCTTAACAAATTAAATCACAGAATTTCTACTGGGTTATAAGACTTTTATACCATTGGATTTCCTTGATTTTCTTCTAAATTGTCCCTAAGAAAGGTCTGGATGATAATCAGGATCATAGTGTGCTAAAGCTGGAAGACACCTTGGAAAGCATTTGGTCCAGCTAGAGGGGAAACTAGAGTTCAGTGAAGTTAAGTCACAGAGCTTGTCAGCCAAAGAGAAGGATTAGCACTTGGTCCTAGAGAGCTTGGTCCAAGATGCTCAATATTATGCCTCACATTTATTAGATGTCATGTAGTGTAGGTCTGGTTATGGCCCAGATCTGTAGATGGTGATGGCTCAGGTGTTAAGTAAGCTGGCTCTGTGAAGTTGGTTAAGTAGAGGGAAGACAAAGACTCTTCAGGAAGGATGATGGATCAGGAAGATCCACGGTGGCACATGCCACATCCTGGATTTTATCAGAAACCCAGTCCCTGCTCCTCAAATGGTCCCTTGCTCGATGACACGCTGGAAGGATTTTTTTGCAGCATCCTTAAAAGTATTTTTCAAGTGATGACTTGGGAACATTTCTAACAAAGATAATTGCTAAATATAGTGGTCATAATAAGGAAATACAAGTGACTTACGTGGTTCTACCTCCAGATAGGTTCCATTGCCAAAGATCAGGTATCACAGTGGATAAACCTAGTTTAAAAACTGCCTTACTTTCCCTTTATGACAACCCTGGCCCCAGTTGCCAAGTCACGTGGTAGACATGGATGGGATTTTCTGTCTTGTCTGACCTAACCTCTTTTCTCCTAAGTCTTGGGGGCTGTCTTTCAGGACAAAACAGGAGGCAACTACTGTGTCAAACAGAAATCTAAGCTTTTGCCATGTTACAATGCAGATTGGTGCTTGGAATGAGAGAGACTGGAGTGTGACCAGAGAAAAGAAAGGTGGCACATTGGTCATAGAGTTGTGCTTCTCAGTCTTTGGGCTACACTCAGTCTTTGGGCAGAGGTCTAGTGACTTATGTGCCCCATTCACTCCTACCTTTGAGGGGAATAGCATTTCATATTCAACTAGAGCTTTGCATCACTGCCAAGTACTGTGCAGCAGCCAGACTTCTTAGTATGAAATAGAATTAGAGTCTTCAGTACATTTTAATAATATATTCACAAATATCAAATTGTAACAAGCTTTAACAGCATACACTTAAAAGTGGCAGTTAAATTGACCTCTGTCATATGTAAAAATTATAGTCTATGAGATTTCCTGTATGTCACTCATAAAAACCAGAAAAAGAACAAGCATTTTCAGATCAGTTTACAGCCCATAAAGGACTGCAGATCATACTTGGAATATCACCGCCATGGAGAGTGGTTTTCAGTTGTGGTGAAAAAGAAAGGTGTTAGAAAACCTGAAACCTGGTTCGACTCTGTCCCTTACTAAGTGTATAATGTGGCCACATTACTTAAGTTCACTGAGCTTTATTTGCCTCCTTTATAAAATGAGGGTAATATCTTCTGTATTGGGAGGTTGTAAGATTAAATGAAAGGGTGTATAGATAGCATTCTCTGAACTATTATAGAAAGCTTAGGTGTAATTATTAGAATGTTTATTAGGCTTAGACAACAGAGAAAGTAAGTTTTACTTGAGGGATGTAATTTCACTTAGCGCAGAACTCCCCAGAGGCAGGATGGTCGGGCGAGGTTGCTGAGGGAGAAGGGAAGCCTGTGTCTTTGGTGTTTGAGATGAGAGTGTTCGTTTCTTAGAGCTGTGGGTGAGGACTGGAATCCAGGTTTCTGTTTTCCTTGGTCTTTCTCTAGGTCAGGTGGAACCTCTGTTCCATTCTCTAATCTTCCCTCTTGAATCCAAAAGCTGAAGTCCTTACAGTAGTCTACAAGCCACCCCTACCCCACTCCCATTACCAACCTGACCTCCTTTTTAAATCTCCTCCTCATCACTCACTGTCCTCCAGCCACATGGGCCTCCTTACTATCCTTCACACACCCCAGGCTGCACGTGTGTTTCCTCTGCCTGGGGTTGTTCTTCTCCTAGATACCTGCATGGCTCACTCTGTCACCCACTCAGGTCTCTGCTCAAATGTCCTTTACAAAGAGGCCTTCTGTGACTCCCTTGTTAAAAATCGCACACTACTCCTTCCCACGCTTTATTCCTCTTCTCTGCTTTAGTTTCCTTCCCAGGTCTTATTACCACTGAAAATACTATGTGTTTTATTCACTTATTTAGTTTATCATCTGCCTTTTGCCATTAGAATAAAAGCTCCAGTCAGGCATGAATTTCTGTCTGTTTTGTTCCTGCTGATTCCCCATGGCACCTAGGAGAGTGCCTGGCATATACTGACAATCACTTGTCATAGCTTGCAGAGCTGGGACTCAGGCAGGGCTCCGCAGGTTCCCAGCTTGCTTTCATTTCTATTTCCTTTTGCCTTATTTCACGACTGACTTGTCTTCTCATTCATTTGTTCACACATACATTTGTTCATTCATTCATTTGTTCATTCATTCATTCATTCAACAAACATTCATTTAGTGCCCTCAGTGTATTTGTGGACACAGTAAGGAACAACTCAGAGTTTTGTTCTCATAGAACAAGGAAAACAGATGGTAAATGATCATACAAAGTTCAGGTGGAGATGAGCACTATAAAAGTATAGCAGGGTAAGGGGTTGCAGAATGACAGGGGATGGTTGAGAAAGGTCTCACTAGAAGTGACATTTGAGGCATGACCTGGAGAAGGAGAGGGAGAAAGTGGTGTGAATCTCAGGGAGAAAATGTCTCCCTGAGGTATAGGGATGCACAGGTCACAGGCTCCTTTCTGGGAGACACCCATCGTGTGTGAGAGGGAATGCCAAAGATGGGAATGGGAATTTTAGAAACACATTAATACGCCAAGGACCTTGTGGGACTGCTCTTTCTTGGAGTGATGCTCTAATCATCGTCTGGAGCTTTCCGAGTTTAGAACCCTGGAGCTTTCT